GAGAGAGAGAGAGAGAGAGAGAGAGAGAGAGAGAGAGAGAGAGAGAGAGAAATTTCTTGGCCTGTCCCTTACGAAGAACCAACTTAGTCCCTTGATGACAAGTCAAAAGAACCTAGGTTTAGGAGCCCACCTAGGCAGCCGAATATGCTGTTGTCAATATTGATGAAGACTAGAATCCTCAAATCTGGATTCCCATCTGTAAGTGAATTGTATACTATATTCATATTGCTGTTTCATCCCAAACAAAGTTTGATTTGTGTCTTGTATGTGATATTACTTTGGTCTTTTTGCCTGATGGATTGTGATTACATATACTGCTATGAGAACATTTGTATGATTTAAAGGATTAAATCATATGTTTAAAGGAAGAAAGGAATATTGGGAGAGCCGTTATCTAGACCTCTTCATTCTGGAAAAAGCCATAAAGCCGTTGTGCCTATATTCCTAAGATTCCCGTCATTAAAGTGGATGTCAGTGTCCTAGTTTGATGTCCATATGCTTTATGAGTTCTTTTTTTTCTGCTTTATTTAATTATAATTTTATTTTTATTTATTGTATTCATATTCCTAGTATAGAATTTTAGTTACCAAACAATTTCTGTAGAAGCTGGAGTTGTTACAAGGTAGGCAGCATTTTCAGAAGCACCTAATAATTTTGTAGGAAGTGTTGACCTCTTGAGCAGGAGTGTTTCAGTGATTAAGATTTACAGTTTCCTATATTTTTAAGGAAATTTTTGTAGATTAAAACATAAAAAATATATTTGGTATCAGTATTGTTGCTTTTCTCTCAAAGTCTTCTATAGGGTATAGGAGCATGTTTTCTTTAACCTCTTTCATCCAGGTTCTATTCTCTTATGTTTCAATAGTTTTAGGGGGTTGACCCTACTTCATGTCTTGGTTTACTCATTTTTTTAATCCATGTAAAGAAAATATAATATATTATACCCCTGATGGAGTCTTCCATGTATTATTGCATTATTTGAACATTTTCTCCTCTTCTATATTTTTTGTACAATTGATTCTTAACATCTACTAGGAGAGTCTCTCTCTCTCTAGATTAAAACATAAAAAATATATTTGGTATTGGTATTGTTGCTTTCTCTCAGAGTCTTTTATAGGGTATAGGAGCATGTTTTCTTTAACCTCTTTCATCCAGGTTCATTCTCTTATGTTTCAATAGTTTTAGGTGGTGACCCTACTTCATGTCTTGGTTTACTCATTTTTTTAATCCATGTAAAGAAAATATAATATATTATACCCCTGATGGAGTCTTCCATGTATTATTGCATTATTTGAATAATTTCTCCTCTTCTATATTTTTTGTGCAATTGGTTCTTAACATCTACTAGGAGAGTCTCTCTCTCTCTCTCTCTCTCTCTCTCAGACGTACTAAAAGGTTGTGATGATCTTGTTGTCGTAGGCATGATGACGAGTCTTAGAAAGCTCGTGCTTACTGGCAATCCTTTGCGAACTCTTAGAAGGTGAAGAGTGAGGGTTCACATCTCTTTTTGCATTTGGAAATACTTCGACCGAGTATTTGAGTTATTTTCCTAAGCATGTGTTTTCTTGTGCAGCTCGTTGGTATCTGGCCCAACACCTGCATTATTAAAATATCTCCGAAGCAGACTGTCTCCTGATGAGAGTGGTAAAGTGGTTTTGGCTGATTAGACTTGCATAATATTTTGATCATCATTTTAATCTTGTGTAGTTTCTCGTTCTCAGGGCTCCACTAACTCATTGCCATGAGCTTGTTCTTCATGGGCATGAGTACTTATACATTGACAATGTTTTCTTTCTTTACATGCCATTGCGTCTATATTGGATGATCTTTTTTGGTTTGTTTTTTTGGGGTTGGGGGGTTTGGGGTGCAACACTTGCATTGGGTTACCCCAACACATGTTTTGTACCATAGTTTGGTTTTGGTGTTTCTCTGGTCACCTTATTGGCTTTCCTTGTTTAATTGGGTTTATGATTTGCATAAGCGTAATTTTCAGCTTCCATTGAGTTCATACTATTTAAGTATTTTTTGAAAAATCTTTTGTTCATTCTTACACTGCTGCATGCGGCCATACACTGTATTTTCCGGTTGTAACTATTATCGCTGTTTTCTTGTACAGCTTCTACAACTACTTCCCGTACTTTGAAAGAAGAGCATATTTCTATGGCAGCTCGGTTATCGATTTCTTCAAAGGTGAGTTCTTTTGTACTTGTTCTTATTAAGCTAACTTTGTGTTTTACATATTCTTGCTTATGGATGGTAGATTCCTTTGACTTTTTAGTTGTATTATGCCTCAGGAATTGTCCTTAACTGGGTTGGCGTTGACAAATGTTCCTCCAGCAGTATGGGAATCAGGTGAAACTGTGAAAGTCGATCTTTCCAAAAATTTGATTGAAGAGCTTCCAAATGAGCTCTCATTGTGCACCTATCTTCAGGTAAAATGGAGATATCAATTTTCGTAGTCCTTAGTAGAGAGAATCAAATTACACATCTCCTGCAGTGTGGTGCATATTAAACTTGCAATCCGGAATACTATGCTTTGCTCGAATTGTATTCTCTGCCTACATGAAAGACGAAATAATTATTTATGTTCTCTATAATGAAATTTTCTTTGATTATTTTTTTCATTTGGTCAGTATCTAAAACATCATTTATTTGTTGGGTTAGATTCCCTCAACGTCATTGCTGATTGGCAAATAAGTATCAAAGAAAAGCCTACACCAATACGTAGACCATTGGAATTTCAAATGCGGATTTCCCTCTCTAAACTTGGGGTCTAACATATAGGCTCCTTTAAGTTTCTGGCAATGGACTTAAAGACTATGACCATGCCTCTCATTGCATCCTGTTGAATTACCCTTGACTTAAACTCAAGCATGACTGCTTACATAGATATTGACTGTATCAATTGTTTATGAAGTAATAAGAAAGTAACTGACAAGGAGCTTCTTGGGGTTGAATGCTCTAGGAAAACTCAGCAGTTTTAGTGTGTATACTCATGATCCTCTTTTGTATATCATATCACACTGTCAAATATATGATTTGACAATCGGGCTAAAATTATTAGCTTGTCTGTGACGTTCAGAATGTTATTCTGGTCATGGTAGTTCTAATATATTTGTTATTTCTTATCAACTAGCTCTTGCTTCTTTTATGCGCATCTATGGAAAATTGCTGCATGATGTTAATGGCTGCAGAAATCTAAATGTTCTATAATTTCTGTTCTGTACTAATGGCTACTAGTAATTGCAGACCCTAATCTTGTCAGACAACAAGATAAAAGAATGGCCTGGTGCAGTTCTTTCATCTCTTTATAATCTTTCATGCTTGAAGCTGGACAATAACCCACTAACACAGGTAAATTGCATAAATAGCTGGGATGACTGTTTTGAGCTTATGAGTTCTATGCACTGTTATTTCACGTTATATTATGTTCTTGAGATTGCGATAACCATCTCTTATATGCATACCTTTAGCATCTAGGGATAGATATGGAGCAAATAATGATTTTTTTAGTTATGGACATGAAGCTATTATTAATTGAGAAGCACGGTGAAAGGGAGATTAAGATGAATGAGGATATGAGTGGCACACATTCAGAATTGCCTCTAAATTGATGGATTTGAATAATTTCTTACACTGGAGATTAAATGAAATTTTAAATGTGCAATCATGCATTCCAACTCATTAGTGTAAGTTCTGGTGTAACCATGCAACATATTAGAGTTATGAATGCAAAACTCATCAAGCCATATGCACCATACTAATCAAGGTGTATGGTACATGCACTCCCAATTTGTAGAAGCATAACTGGTTTGGTAAAAACTGAGCTTCATTTATGAATTTGAGTCACTTATTAAACAACATATATTTCTCTATTCCATTTGAATGTATAAAAAACTGTTTTTATCTAGTACTAGACTTTCTTCTCATAGATGATGCCTTTGAGTTAAAGAAGACTAGTGTCTACTTCTTTCATTTCTGTTTTCTTTTTAAGTGTTTCTTTTCATCTTTGACCTTGCAGATTCCATCAAATACCTTTGAATCTCTGACAAAGCTCCAAGTACTGGATTTGAGTGGTATTCCAGCTTCGCTACTTGAACCTTCATTTCTCTCTAGCATGCCACAATTGCAGGAGCTATACTTAAGGTACAAATATTGAAACCTTTGTGCATCCTTTATTTTGGTTACTTTTTGGGGTTCTTACTTTTTGAAGTTTACAGACGAATGCGCTTGCAAGAAGTCCCTTCAGGCATTTTGACTTTACAAAATTTGCGTATTCTGGACCTAAGTCGGAATTCCCTTGTATCTATTCCTGAGGTGAAAGATTTTATGCATGCAATATTTATCCCCTGTGATGCCTTATGTGTTAATTTTCTTTAATTACAGTTTCAGGAATAGCTTGTCAATTTTTATGTTATCTTCATCCATTTCCAAATTTATTTTTTACACAGGGTTTTAAGACATTAACATCTCTAAGTGAGCTCGACTTGTCGGACAACGACATCCCAGCACTTCCAGTGGAACTGGTATGCTATCATTCCTTTTCTTCTTTTGCACTCACTAGATTATGAGAGAGTTTTGATATAAACTCCTTATTCATTAGCTGATTAAAATACTTCACACTTTAAAACATTGCCATCTTTTCTAAAACCTGCAAAATATCCTTCTAAACAATTGAATAGCTAGAGGTGTAAAAAATGGGTGTGGTTGTATAGAGCCTAGGCTCTAAACAATCAAATTAGAGCTTACCTTCAAATAGTGTCGAGAAATGTGGTTTCAATATTGGAAATCTTTGCGATAGCCTTAAAATATATTTTTCATATTTATTTATAAAGTTTAAAGCTTCAAAAAGAGTGTAGATCAATAGATCTATCAAAACTTGAAAATCTTAAAAATTGATAGTCCAAAAATGCGTTACAAAATACACTATTTGCAAAACTTTAAATCTATTTTTTTCTCATGTCCATGCATCTTGATGTCGAGATGATCAATTTGAAGATATTTGGGCATCAAAACAACCTATTCTAGTGAAATTTTTGAGGTAGGCTCAAATTTGATTGTTTGGAGCCTCAGCTCTATATAAACTTTTTCCATAAAAAATTGACTTGCTTTTTTTATGCACGTAACATTTACAAAGACCAAAGATCATATGACAGACAAGGTTGATTGTGGAGAGGTTGGATTTCCCTTGATGCTGAAGAGATAGTGAGACTGTCATGAAATCTATGTTCAAATTTGAAACCAAAGGGTTAAGATGATGAACTCTAGACCAGTATGCTACATTTTAATACTGAAGCATAAGATCATTTTTGAAAGGCACTTATGCACCTTTACCGTATGAAGAAGGGTTGACGTTTGGCCATCAAAAGGCGTACAGACCTTTAGATGCATGGCACTTGATTACATGCTTAATTGCAACCCTTACCTGATAACCTATACTAATTGTTGCCCTAGACCAATATCCATCCTACCTATAAATAATTTGGAAGGATTATGTTGAGTCCGCCAACTCATGCGTACCCCCTTGTTTTTCAAGGGTTTTAGGAGACCCGAAACACATCCTAAATCACTGCAACTCCATTCCCACCTCAGATTCATGAATTTGGAGTACCAAAAGTAGGGTAGATCTGCTGATTGTAGAAGAATTGGAATGAATGGTCCAAGAAAAGTTTACAGGAGTTTCATTTTTAGGACCCAAAATTTATGTATTTTTCAGATTTATGATTGTGGTGGTCGATATGATAGACCTGTAAAGTTTCCAGTCGGAAATTCATCTCCAATATGGATTTTGGAAGGTGGATGCAACAGAACAGTGGGTCCACGGACACACCAATACCCTACCCAAAATGATTTCAGACATGGTTTTGGGTATTTCTCGTGTGCCTCTTCATGCCCGCCCATGTGCCTAAGATGCATGTTATTTTCACGAGTTTTCACTTAAGAATAAAAATATTGTTCTTGGGGATATAATAAAAATAATTTATGGTTTGTAGTCCATATAAGCTAGCATCTGCATGCGCTCACTGAATACACACTGTACAAATTCAAAACTGAAACATGGGATGGTTTTTTGCTCCCAGGGATTGCTGGAATCAACCCTACAAGTCCTGAGACTGGATGGGAACCCATTGAGAAGGTAGTATTTTGGCTTTTTCCCATTATTAAGGTTTTGTGGATAATTTTCTTTTTCACTTATTTGCTTTTCCAGTTTTGTCTAAAGTTTTTGAGTTCTTTTGGGCAGCATCCGTCGACCAATTCTGGATCGTGGAACAAAGGCTGTTCTTAAGTATCTCAAAGACAAGATTCCAACATAACCCAAGTATGGTACTTTGAGGTTGCCGTTTTTCTTATTTCGGTTATATACATGGACAAAGATTAATAAGCCCGCTAAGATTATATAAGCGAACGGGCTTATTCTGCAGCATAAGCCATTTTGAAAAGTCGGGGTCTATCAAAATCTAAATTTTCACGCCTAGCTATCCAACCATGCAGATTCAATTTGAGCCATTAGGTGTACAAGGTGAGTTACGTGAGTGGACATACCTCATGTTTCTCCATTTCCTCAGCTTGTTACATACGCTTGCATGTACAAGAAGAGACAGATTAACTTGAGGGAGCCCTTAATGGCAAAAATATCCTTGTTCGTGGGTTTGTTGAATGCAGAGTGTGACATTATACAGGGTTAGAATGCGGAAACAAGTTCATTGATTGAATCTCCTAAAACCCTTATTGTAATCAATAGCAGGGTTATAGGGTGTTATTGAGTGTTGGGAATTTCTCTCCAAGGCTTGCTGGTTTGGTTTTTATGGTTCTTCCTTTTTGAGTTTTCTTAGTATTTTTATTGTGTATACTTGATGTAATGAGCCTATCATGAAGCTCAATTTGATTGTAAACGAATTGTACTCTTACTGTTTTATTTGGCAGTGGTTATTTACTTTGTTTTTTGGGTGCAAATTAATGTTGTCAAATTCGCTTAGGAGTCTTCTTCGGTCTGGGGAGAAAAACGAAGCAACTCTGTGCTTCAGCAGGATCGGGGGAAGAGTTTGGACTTTTTTTTAAAAATTCAATAGAAATAAATTAGATATATATGTACATGTATATAAATATATAATAATAATAACTTAACATATATTTTTTTAAAAAAATACTTTTATATAGATATTTTTTTGCTTTGGCCGAATCGGCCCGAAGTTGGCTGAATCGCTTCGCTCCCGTCTAGGCCTAAAATCAGAAAGCTTCGGCCTTTTCGGTTGAAGCGAAGCAAAACTGGCTTAGGTTAAGAGAAATTTGCTCTATAGACTTTTAGATGGCTATAGATCTCTAAATACATACAAATTATCTATATATATAGGCTTTAGAGGCACGTGAGAAACCTTCTTTAAGCTTAACATTTTCCCCTTTTTCTTTTATGTGGATAAGTTATTCTAATGAAAAACCCAACATTTTCTATGCTTCAGCACAACTCTGGTTGGTTGAAAGTATTAACCGCTAAAAAAGAGTTAAATACAAAAGATAGGCAACCAAGTTTAAGACAAGGGACGAGCATCCGAGTTAATTCGGGCTAATAACTAGAGATCCTGCATATCATTAAGAAGAAAGTGGTCAATCATAAGGCATGTTTGTTTCGCATGAAAATATTTTTTGAGAAATATTTTTACGTGAAAGAATTCGGTTAAATGTGTGAATATTTTCACATGAAATAATCTTAGTATATCTTTTCACATTAATTAGCAGTTAATTGGTGTGAAAATATTTCTACACTTATTTTTTGGGGGAGTCAATGGAGTGAGGGTTCTTACCATTTGTAGGAATTGAGTTTAGGACGTAGCATTGTAAATCGTCAAGTGCTAACTAGTTAAGCCCGAGTTCTTTTCTTAGTATACCTACACCTAACCACATGGAGGAATCTTTTTCACATGAAAATATTTTCATGTGAATCAAACATACCCTTATATTCGTGAAAATAATTAGAGTGTAACTTCTTGTACTTAGTCCATTAGTTTACTATCCATTATACTTATATTAAGTCATATTTGAAGATGAGAATGATGTACCATTTAATTAGACTAGAACTATATGTAGAAAAAGACTTTAAGGTGAATGCTTGTTGAGGGGGATTCTATAAGTTGGGCATAAGGTAACTTACCTCTTAGTACAATCAATATATCTTTTTCTTCTTATAATAAATGCATCCATTTGAAAATTAATTGACAAGATAGTAAAAAATCTAATTTAAGATTAAATTTTCCTTTTTAATTAATAGCTTATGTTTATCCGAACTCAGTAATAAGTACTCTAGATTTACATGCACAAAAGAAAATAGATACCCTCTTATTTTTAGGTTCATTATTCTAGTTAAAGACTTAGATTTTTAGATTTTTAAAATGACCAAATTACCTTTGTCATTTTCAAGGGTAGTGGGATCATTTTAAGTTTTGAAAATATTTGTTTTATAGTTTTCTTGTGTGTTTTGTTGTGTATTACACACGTCAAAAATTTCATATCCATCCAATTTGTAGAAAAATATTAAAATCAATTAATAACATAAATTTTTAACCATTCAAGCAAGATGGGACGGCTGTGAGCAAAACTTGAACTACACTTCATTTTAATTGACAAC